TACACACATACTTTTTGGAAAACTGTAGTTATTTGAGTAGTAAATTTTTTCGTACTTTCTCAAAGCAAGTACTGTAACATTAGCCTTAATCTCCTAGGCGCACTTTGAGTGAAATGACCACAACATACCTTCTCTAAAACCTCAGTACCTCAACAGAAAGCAGATTCATCAAAATCAAGCTGTATGATTAAATGAGCCACTTTGATAGAATGCTACAGTTTTCACTGTAATTTGATTGTTCCAAATTGGGAAATGGGGAAGTTTCTAAATTTTCTATTCCAATTGGGAGCAGACATTTAACTATGCTTTCCTTAGACAGTTTTCAAGTTAACCACTTTGAGTGTATATACATTTCTTATGTACCACTTCCAGACAAAACCAAAGGGCAACGTATTTCCAGTCAGCACAATCCCTATTTTTCTGCAACCTGTTAAGCTATGTGGCTAGAAAAAAAGCTAACTTACTATATTAGGCTTCATTATAAACTAATATGTTTAAAATTGGAGGTATTCTGAGCTGGGTGTCCCAAACATTGCTAAACAGTTCTGAGACTGGAATTCAAATGACTCAGATGGTCAGCATTGAACTTTCTTTTCTCTCAATCTGGCATTTCACTTGCTTCAGTTCCAATGATTTCATTACTGTAATATTTATTCACTGCATAGATTTTTATCTGCATGCATAATTTTATTTTATTTGATAACAAACCTACATGATAAGATATAAAATATGTATTTATATATCTTACAGAGCATGGCTACACAGATCCAGATGCATTTTTAGTGCATTAGGGAAATACTTGGTTTCTAAGCACCTGATCTGACACACTTTCCATTTCAGCTGCACTGGAATCTCTTGGGTACAGCTATAAAAAGTTTGGAGAAATCATACTCATTCCTTTTGCATTTACTCAAGGACAAAAAACATTATTTTCAAGTCTGAGAATCAAGAATTTCAGAAATTCATCAATTATCTCTAAAATTAACAATCCAGATGACTTTTTTCATTTGAGAATGTAGACTGAATAGACATATTTTTACAATGATTCTTAAAAATGAGTATGACATTAATTAACTGCATACTTCCTGGGAAAATGTTTTTAAATAAAGTTTTGCATTAATTTTCCAAGAAAAAGAATGCATGCACATGCTAGAACATTCAACTTATGAGCAAGAAAGACTGAAATGTTACCAAAAACTGCCACACAAAGGCAAAACTGACAGATAACATAGTACTAGCAGGCTGCTTCCTTCTTTGGGTGGAGAGGATATTCCATTTCAACGCTTAGAAGCACTTATTTTCCTATCTGAAATGTCTGCTGAGCACCATCAAATGCAAGCCACTGCACCAGATATGCCAATAACACCCTTGAGTTGCACCATGATCATTTAAAGCTATATTCATAATTTAGTGTAGTCATATGAATTTATTTTAATATAATGTACCATACAGGCTACAGTCCTTATTTCTGGTAAATCAGACTTTAGGGTGTTAAAAAGTGAAGTTTTAGGTCAGGTTAATATGTACAAAACAAAACATGATCATTTCAATTGATGCAGGAAAAAAGTAACAACAGCATTAAATAAACAAAAAGTTTGACTAAATTCAAGATTATCTTCATTAAAAATATTAATAAACTATTAAAGTGAATTTGTCAACATAAAAATGTTATATATTAAAAACATTTATAACTACAATCATACTCAATGGTAAACACTGAAGGTTTTTGCCCTAAGATCAGTAATGAAACAAAGATGCCACTTCAGTCACTTCTATTTCTTCTAGCACTAGAAGTTATAGAAGGGGCAAAGAGGCAAACAAAGAAAAACACGTCTAATTTGGAAAGGAAGATATTAAAAAAAATCTGTGCTATAGATAACCTGATCTTTACCTAACAAACTCCACACACTGGAAATGAACAATCTCAAAGTAAGTTTTAAAAACCCCACTTATAATAGCAACCAAGAATATAAAATATGTAATAAAAAATTCAACCAAAGAGGCATGAAACTTATACACAAAAATCTATAAAAAGTAAAGAATACATAAACAAAAACTCTTCATGTGCTTGGGGAAAATACTTAAGATGGCAACACTATGGAAAGTAAAGTAGAAATTCAATGCAATTCCTATCAAAAGTCCAACAGTCTTTTAAAAAAAATTTTCAGCAATGGAATATTCATCCTAAAATTCATATAGAATCTTAACAAAATCTAAATAGCTAAAACAAGTTTTAATGGAAAGATTAATAAGGTGGTTCAGCATTTGGTTTTTTTAAAAAAAACTGTGTAGTATTGGCATAAATATAGAAATACAAGTTGAAAAAAATGAAATAAGAGTTAGAGTGCACTTCTGTGGTCAAGTGATTTTTCACAACAGCTCCAAGACCAGTCAAGGAAGAAAACAATTCTCTTCAACAATGGTGCTGATAAAAAAAAATGCAATTTGATCCTTATTAAAATTCTACTCAAAACTTACTCAAAAATAGATTTAAAGCCTGCTGATAACACATAAATTGTAAAACTTTTATAAGAACAAATGAGGGGCCAAATGGCTAAATACTTGTCTTGAACATGCCAGGATCCCATATGGACATCATTCTTGTCCTGGCTGCTCCACTTCCCATCCAACTCCCTGCTGTGGCCTGGGAAAGCAGTAGAGGATGGCCCAAAGCCTTGGGATCCTGCACCTGTGTGGGAGACCCAGATGAAGATCTTGGCTCCTGGCTTCAGATTGGGTTAGCGGTGGCCATTGTGGCCACTTGGGGAATGAACCAGCAGATGGCAAATCTTTCTTTCTCTCTGCAACTCCTTGTCTCTGTAAATCTGCCTTCCCATGAAAATAAATAAATCTTTAATAATAATAAAAATAATAATGAATCTACATACTTAGTTTCAGAAGTGGCTTTTCATATATGACACCAAAGAAGAGGCAATTCAAATTGGACTTTATTATAACTAAAAATTGGGGGGCATTTGAAGGACTCATTTTCAAATAATTAGAAAGATAACCCATAAAATTTTTAAAAATTTGAAAATTATGTCTGAAAATAATTAAGTATCCAGAATACATAAATCATACAATTCAGCAAAATAGACTAAAAAGCTACCAAAAAAGAATAGACATTTCTACTAAAGAAAGATACAAATAAAATGGCAAACATAATTAGGCATTTGGTAAATGCAAATGAAAAAGCAATGGGATACCATTTCACATTATCTAGGTTGGCAGCTCTCATAAATTTTTACGAAGCAGGAAATTCAAAATTGTGGGCAAAGATGTAAGAAATCTTTATTATTGGTGAAAACAGAAAATGTTGTACCTGCTGTGGAAATAATTTGCCAGATCCCCAAAAAGTTAAATAGGTAATATAGCAATTGTACTGCTGGGTATAAATAAAAAGCAATTGAAAATATGTTCTTATGCACATATTTGCAAACAAATGTTCATGACACCATGAAAATTATTATTAATAATGTGATGCCAAACAAGTACAGGCAACTCAAGTTCCATTTCAGTGCATGAATATACAAATAATATAAAACACAAAAGTATCTCAAGTCAGTAATGGAAACATGGAACTGAAAGGTAATGTTTGTTTGCTACAGACATTTTGAGATCTTTTCACACATTAGAATAGTATTTAGCCACAGAATGATGTTTTGATACGTATTACAATATGAGGGAGCCTTGAAAACTTATGCAATAATCCAGACACAAAATGATGAATACTGTACAATTCCACTTATATGAATACCAGCAATAGGAAAACTCACTGAAAGAAAAAGCATTATTAGAGGGTAAAATCAACCAGAGGAAGGGAATTTGAGAAATCATTGCTTAATGGGCCCAGGGTGTGAAGTGATGAAAAATTGTGGAAATAGTGCTGATGTTGTACAACATTCTGAATGTAATACGCTTAAATGATATTATTAGCAATGGTTATAATGGACATTTTCTTATATATATTTTATCACCAGGGGAACAAAATGGCAAGGAGCAAAAGAGAGTACATGGTAAACTACCTTCCGTGTTTGCATGAAGAATCAGTCAATACTATGCATGATACTAATTTCAACGGTTGTTTTAATAGGCAATACACTGATAAGATCATACTGGCTAAAAGATAGAACTATTTCTGTCCTGGTTAGTTAAAATTCACTCAGTAATTCTCTGAATTCTCTCCTCAGCTTTCATCAAAGGATGTGTGGCTACCCCATGACACAGTGATAAATGCTTACCCTGGCAGGGTAGGGAGGATATGGCAACAGTGCAGAGGGATTTTGGATGGTAACAGACTAAGAAATTTAGATTTTGTGATCAATTTGTTTAGGGCTTTTATAAATTTTTAAATCATGTAAAATTCTCACCTAATGATGATAAGATAAAATTTTAAAACTAGTAAGAAGACAGTAGCAGTTGAAAGAGGCAGCTAAGAGAATTTGAGACAAATCAGTGTAAGCGTGTAATTACAGTGGATAAATAATAGGAAAGACCAGGCAATTCCAAATGCTATAGCAAGGCTTCATAACATGAGATATTAACAAGATAAACTTGGGCCAGATGTTAAATAATTTCTACAAGTCATTACTTAATTCAATCTATAAAGTGCTATTTCTGCAGAAGAGACCAAACCACTTAGAGCTGTTTTTGTTTTTTTTTTAATCAGCACACTTAATTTGAACAGGTCTGTATGATAGTTGCATGGAGAATGGGCTGAAGATGGAAGGAGCTGAAAATTGGGAGCAAAAGAAAATTGCTGAGAGGAACACAGCTGAAAGTTAGGTTACAGTTGAGTTAAAATAAAAAAGGAGGAACAAAAAAACTAAGCTTTCTAGTTTAGATGACCAAAAGGGTGGGGGATGACCTTTATGGAGTAATTTTAACTGGAAAATTTTTCAGATTTTGATTTTGTAAAATATGAATACATTGGGATGCCAAAGATAAAGCATGACATAATGTGGATTTCAAATAACAAGTTACTATGAACATAGTAATGATTTTTCCATTTTATTTAGAAATGATCTACTAAGGGGAAATATGCTAAAATTTTACAGGAAAAAAGAGCATCTTTACACATAAAAGAAAGTCTTATGAAATCCGATACAAAGACTTCTCTGTGCTGATTTTTGAAAACAAATTTGCCTTCCCCTAAAATAGCTCAGGTGTTAAACATGTGGAAAAGTGATCTTGAGGTAACGACACTAGGACTTTATATATTCATAGGGGAAATAAATAAGAAATATGATTTCTCAAAATGCTAATATTTTATTCATATAAATGCACTTTCAAAATACTATGATATTCCTCAGAGAATGATATTGCATTCTGTGAATGGAAATTAGAATGAACACAGAACGTTCAAGAAACCATGACCAAAATAGCTTTAGGTATCTTTTACAAGCATTCTTTTTTCAACTCTACAACTACCTCTAACATATCCCTCTTTCCTTCTATAACTAAACTTCTCAAGTAGTATATATTCACATTCTTTATTTCCTTATCTTACACTTATTCCCCAATCTACTTTGTCTATACAACCTGTTCAAATCATGTAGTAGTTGCTAAGTCCAACAGAGCTAAACAGGTGACTAAATCATCATTAAGTGACATGTCTGTTGCACTTGCATGCTTACACATGCTCAGAAAAGCCAACATCCTTGAAATAGCCTCTTCTCATGAAGCTATAAATCCCTGCGATTTTTAAAAAACTCTTCTGACATTTTCTCAATGTTTCTCAATATCCTCTTTTCTGCACTAACTACTGGCATTTCTCAGGGGTTTGCCTGAGATCTGCTCCAATTCTCCTCTACTCTCCTTCAGAACACTCAATGCTTCAGTTTCCATTTGTATGGCAATGATTTGTCTTCTGCCCCCTTTATTTCAAATCTGTAGAGCAGATCTTTCCTCTAGACTGTGAGTACAAATATCCAAGTGCTTCTCCAAACTCTCAACATTACTGTCTCAAAGAAACCTCAAACTGTCCACTTCTAAACAACCACTCTTGACCTTGCCCATGGCACATGGCCCTCCTCCAGAGGTCTGATCTCAATTGTCATTTATTCAACTGCACCAGTTAGACTTTATTAGCACTTTTACTGTTTACCACTTATTAAAGCCCCATAGCCATTTAGTAACCAAATACAGACAGTGATCACTTCTTAAGAATCTCTTACATCTGTGCGCTTCTCTCCCTCTGTTCTGTTGACATTCTAGTCCCAAATGTCAACATCCCTCTCCTGGATGGCTGTAAAAGTTTTGCAGCTACTCCAACCACAATACTGTTTCCTACAATCTGAAAAGGGTACTGAATACAAAGGTCTTTGTTCTTATGTCTGTGAGGGGATGGTAGCAAATTCTTAGTTTCCAAAATGTAAAAAATGGGAGCAACTACTCAAATATGTAACAGGAACATCTTCTTCCATGACTTGAGGGCAAGAAGTGGCAGAAAAAATGACAAGTGTTATCTCCATCAGGCTACATTTTCTGCTTTGTATCCGGCCTCTTCATATCACCATGTCTGACCCGACTTTTCTCATTCAGTCTGGTCCAGATCAGTCTTGGGTCGTCTGACAACCTGGGAAGGCCCCGATGCACCTCTCCAATATGAGTGAGAACGTCTGTGGTGTGCAGATGTTCATCTAGTTTCTGTTGCAGGAGAAGTGACTCCAGTAGAGTCTTCTTTTGTCTCAGGAAGGCGGATTGAGCCAGCTCTGCTCTTTTCCTGTTACAATCGGGACATTGAGAAGAAATGTGCTGCTTAACCGCTCCCACCTGTTTTATTGCCACAGCCATATTTTTAAAATAGACCCTGTTTAACAGCTCCTGGGGGACAGGGCAGGGTAAGGCCTCTGCACCTGATCTAACTTGCAGCTTTTTATGTCTGCCGCTCTTCCTTTCCTTGGAAGCTACTTGACGGCGGATCAAGTTTATCTTTGTGGTGCAAAAAGTCTGTGCAGCTTTCAGTTCCTCATCAGATTCCCAAGGACTTTTTGTCTGAAGCTCAGTGTCGGCTTGATGGCGTCCAGGGCTAATAGCTTTGCCCTTGAGGTGGCTGATCCACTTTTCACTCAGCCGGTTTTCACTGTGCTGCAGGCCCCCAAACTCAGCTTGTTTTTCTCCTTCCACGTTCCTAGCCTGCTCCCCACTTCCTGATTCTCTCCCAGAAGCGCTGGACCTCAGCTGCTCTGCTCCAGAAGAGCTGATGGAAACGCAACTCGGTACCTCGTCAGTGAAAGACCTCGAAGTCTCCTCAGAGGTGTGCGCCATAGCAGCCTGGTGCGTCCGGGCCACTTGTGGCTCTTCTTTTCCTGCACGTCGGGGGCTTCGTGGCCGACCACCATCACAAGGCAACAGATTCAACTCTTTCTTTGCTTTCTTGTGGCACTGCAGGAGTCACGACGGACGGAGGGCTGAGTCCTTGGGCATTGCCGGATTGCCTGCCGCCCGCCGCTCGCCACTCGCCACTTCCGGGAGGCGCCCGCCCGGTTGCCTTGGCAACGCGAGCCGGTCATGCGCAGTGAGCGGCGCGGGCCCGCTCGCCTCCTGTGGGCGCGGTTTCGCTGCCTCAGGCCGCGCGCTTCGCTCCGTGCTGGGGCCCTTGCTGTTTCTTCCGCTCTTCGGCTTCTTGTTGGTGCTATTTAAACTAAAACCCAAGAGTTCTGACAGAAGGTAACTGTTCCCCCCCCCGGATTGCCTCCAGAGCCCGGATAGGCGGTACACGTGTGGAGGGAGACGGAGAGTCTGAGACAACCCCACCTCAATGTTTAAAAGCAAGCAAACAAAAACACTGTGGCAGAACTGCACAAGCAGAAACTTGCCTGGCAGTCTTACAGCCGGGAGGTTGCCTACTTGTAGCTTATGAAGTAGGATAAAATCAGAAAAAGGGGCGCCGACCACCTGCCGAGGGAGCTCTGTGTGGGCCAGCCGGTGGTCCTCTCCTCTCCCTGGCCAGGACAGGCAGCTGCCCCTCTTCCTGAAGGTGTGAGTACTTCTGCAGGTCCCGTCCCCTCAGAAAGGGTCCCTCCTGTCTGACCATCTCAGGGACTGTGTGTGTCAGGCTGTTGAATAATGAAGCCAAAGAACAGGGCTTTATGCCCAGCCGTGGGCTTCCACGCGCAGGAGGCATTCAGCTCACTTGGCCTGGGAACTGGATGTTTACAACCTGGGAGATACCGTGCTGTGCACAGATCAGCCAATAGCTTCGGGCCACACTCCCAAGGATAGGTGTCTTGAGGCCCAGGGGTGAGGCAGGCTGTGTCATCTGGAATTCTGTCACTTCATGATGCTCACAGGGGATGAAGTCACCTACTACGCACTCCTCCCAACACCCAAGCAAGGCGCGGCTGCATTGTCTCAGACAGTGGATTTTGAGCAGCGAGTACTGCTAGCTCAAGGAAATCTTAATTTTTTTTTCTTCCTAAACTCGTACACATGGGCTGTTACCAGTGTCCTTTAAAGGGAGTTTTCCAAAACATGGTTCATATTTACTATCAGAAATTCTCAGAAATTAAAATACTAAATCTAGGAGAGAAATTTTTCTAGATCTTAATAAGCGCTAGAGTCAGTGGCTAAGGTCATTTCAAGAGAATGGATGCCTTCTGGAGTCTCATTCTCTCCCTGGTTTGTATGTGTTTTATGTGGAATTCAGGTCTATCCAGACATACTTAATAGAACTCCCGGACATTCATTCACTTTGGCAAAGAGTCAGAATGCTGATTTATTCAAAAGGCAACCATTAAACATGAGCCGAATTCCAATTTCATTTATTCAAGTCAAAATTTTATCATACTTGCAGTTACCGTGACTTGTGATGTTTCTGCTTTTTGTCTTTACTGTGAGGTAGCAGATGATTTGTGAATAGTTCTGATTTATTTCCAACAGGATTCAAGACTACCATTTTTGAAATTTTTATTTCAATACTTTCTCTTTTTCTCTAAATATTTTCACATTGACGCATACAATTCATTATTACACAGTTCTATAATCTTGAACAAAGGAGCTAGATCTATTTGTTTTATGTGTAAATTTTTATTTTGAGTAGTATTTCACAGGTCCGATATGATTTGAAGATGCAGTTCTAAGGACACAGTGGCATTCCCCTCTTCCTTCTTTGAACTCCCTTTCATTCTCCCTTTTTCTCTGTCTCTTTTTTAGCTTTCGAGATAACATGTTTTAGATTTACACTACAGTAAAAAATAAAAGAGACCATTTCATGCAAGTATATTAAATTGTAATCTCAGATCATTAGAACTGTGATAGTGTTACATTCTTAAAGATATATAACAAAACTGTATTTGCAGCAATACCAATACACAGACATTCTCTTTTTTGTTTGTTTGCTTTTTTAAAATTTTAGCCCCCCAAATATTTATCTTTATGAATCTGGATTATTTCATTCTATATGATATCCTTCAGTTGAATCCATTTTGCTACAAATGTTTAGGTTTCTTTCTTTTTTATGTAGCTGAGTAATATTCTTTTGGGTATATATCCACCTTTTTCTATATCTGTTTCTCTGATGACGGGCACCTTGGTTGCGTTCATGTTTGAATGGCACTATAGGTATCTTGTTGATTCACTGTATTCAATTTTTTGGGTAAATACCGAAGTATTGGGGTTGCTGGAGCATATGACGAATCTATTCCTAGTTTTTAAAGAAATTTCCACACTGAAAGGAGCTATATTTAAATAAATACATACATATTATTCAATAAGCTTGATATTGGGGACAACAGCATTTTTCATTCCTTTAAAATAAGAATAAAATTAAATGTTTTTTAATAACTATTTAGAAGCATGCATATTTGAGTAGAAAGTTATGTAGTTAACCAGTGTGACCCAATGGACAGTTTAATGTTCTCATAAATGTATTATCTAGGGAAGTAAAAATAATTCAATGGCACATCCTTATCAAATAAGATCCTTAAAGAGAATTTCAAGTTTTGATTTTAAATGTAGAAATGATCACTCATTAAATGAGTCATGTGCTCTTCACTTAACTGTCAAAGCACTTGCTTAAAGAGGATTCTAATCAAAATTCATGTGCTCGTTTTCACGCTAGTGCCATGAACATAATATTTACTGCTTCTTTCTCTGTCAACGATGTGTGTGTATGAAGAGCTCAGACTGTTGTATAAGCAGTGTTGTCACATTTCTATATAGCATCTATATAATAAACCCTATTTAGAGATTGCTAAGAGAACTATAAACCAGCGTTATGTCTTACATTCATTTTTTTAAAAAACAACTGGGTATTTTAAATGGGAGAAAAATTAGAAAAGCATAAAGGGTAAAAGGGAGTCCACAATGCAGCTTTCTTTTCCTAGTTACTCTGTCTTCTGCCCTTCTCATTTTTAATGCATCAAATTTATCAACTTTTTCTGATTGCTCTTTATGTTTTTTATAGCATCCTTTTTATTGTTAAAACATGACTCTCCTTTCACTGTATACAGTGCTATGAATGTAACACGTGTGTAAATGCATGTAACCCTCCCACCCCCCAAAAAACAGGAACTAGGATTCCCTGTTCAGGATCCTGCACAGGCTCGCTATCAGCCTCCCGATACTGGGTTTTTCCTCATTGATTCTTCTTCCTGTGGTTTCCCAGATATGTAATACTATCTAGAAGTTAACATAGTTAGCCTCTTCCTTTGCAATTCTAAAGTCTCTAATTGCTCTCTCTTATCTAATTGCTTTGATTAATAGCATGAACATAGTGTGAACCAGTTGTGAGCTCAGTTTACAAGTTAGAAATGTATTGTTTTTGTGGTTGTAAAGCATGAGCCTTCTCATAGCTTAGAAAAGTTAAAAACTTAAAAACAAAATTAAATTACTTATATATAAAATTGTTTTTAACTGCCAGTATTACAAAGTTCTTGGTGATAGGTAGATAGAAAGATGAAACAGCTAGATACAGAAATGTAGAGATAGAGATAGAAACATAATAGAAATAGAAAACAGACTCCTCAATAAAATATTTTAAATAAAATCGCTATATTAGTTAAACATGGTCAGAGTCACTTTAACTAGATACTATTTTTTAAATTTGTTCTAAAATAAAATTTAATCCTGAAAATGTAGGGAGTTTTCATTTTTAAATAAGTTCTAAAAATGTGATATTTCTTCTATTTTTTTCTTGCTCATTATAGACAATTTTCTATAACTGTTAGCAGTATAAAGTAGTGACAAGAAATTTGTGTAGGTATTCCAAATGGCTCAATGTTACCCAACATATTTTTAAGGCTCAGTACAGTTTCTTTTAAATTTATTTTAATTGGAAATTATCTGTTTTCAAAAGAAATTATCATACAATTGAGGCAGTGGCAGAGAGGTTCTTCAGAGGGCTGTGAGCAAAGAATCTGTTCCAATCCTGTTTCCTAGACCTGTAGACATCTTCAAGTTCACATGGTGCTCTCCTTTCCTGCTAGTCTCTGTTCAAACTCCTTTTATTTTTTTGTTTCCCATAAGATCGCCAGCCTTATTAGATTAAGACCTTCTGTAATGACCTAATTTTCCCTCAGTTGTCTCTGTGAAAATCTTGTCTCCAAATAAGGTCACATTCTGAGGTATTGGAGGTTAGGACCTTAATGTGAGAATTTAAGGAGTGTAGTTAATAAGAAATTGTTTTAAGAGTATCATTCTTAATTGAAAGTAAATATAGGTGCAAAAATTTTTTCAGCTCAGGATTTTTAAAAATGATTTTAGCATTAAGCAATGATTTTCTGTGGCTCTACTGAGTATCTGCAGGTTCAAATCAAGTGTAGATCACAAATCACTTGATTTTTTGGAAGTCAATATTTCTAATGTGTTTAATGGAGGCAGTGCAGTTTGACTACAAATAATGCCAGGCTGAATTTGAATTGTATAATTATTTCTGATATTGTATCTCAAAAAGTCTGTAGTTGCAATGTAATATCCAGGTTTTCTGAGACGTTTGTAGTTCAAATTCAGAAGGCCCTTTAGCTCTCCATGTAGTCTAATGTAGTTAAACCCCTAAATCTGCAAATTCTACTGACGATTACACTCTTGGAATCTATTAAATTAATACAAGTTGTAATCTCAATATAATATATTACCTTCCAAAACACCGAAGATATATAAAATGAATTCAGAAATACTAGTATTAGTTTGAATTTGATTTATATACTTTGGTTTTCTTTGTAGTGCAAGAATCTTTGGCTGTGGATGATGGGATAGGAATTCATAGCAATTTTCCTAAAAACTGCTATATAGAATTTTTTTAACAGTTCAGTATCTTTCACAGCATTTTACTGTGATTTTTCTACTTACAAAGTACGCTTTCACTGTAAGATGAAAATTCATATGATTGCAAAAGATTGAATAACAGAAATTACAAATAATTTCATTTGAGAGAAATCTTTCTGTGAAATTATCTTATTTGAATGTGCAGAATCATCATATAAATCTCACTCAGGCTCTGGAAAGGAAACTAATGTA